GTTTAAAAGAAGAATTAGAATTTTATTGTAATTTGAACAACTTGCAAAAAACTGGAAGATAAGGAGAATACAAAAAAGATATAAAAGTTACTTATGGTGGAAGGGAAAGATTTATTTGTTAAAAGTTTAATTTTATGAAACTTCATCTGTATTAATTGGATTTGATTGTTCTATGGGAAACCTTTTTGTTCTTCTGTGATTTGCCTGTTAATTGGCTGGATTTTCAGAACAAAAGGAGATAGTAATTGGAGCTTTTTGTATATTTCCTGTTAGCACATGCCTGTAATTACAGCTTGAAAGGCACCAAAGGGCGTGAACTATCTGCTTACTTTCACTTATATAATACCTACGGTTGCTTGCTTTGGGGGAAAAGAAAAATGGCTAAAAGAGGCCCTTTGGAGCAGCCGTTAGAAGTTAAAATGACTTAAGTTTACTCCAATCAATGTCTGATGAATGAGGAGCTAAATTGAAGTCTCTTGAAAAGAAGATAGAGGAAAGATTGGGTAAGATGGTTAAATTTGAAACAGAGGTAGAGATTGATTTGAATATGGATTTGGAGTTCAAAAAAATGCTGGATTACGAAGGTGGTATGAGCAAAGATGTTGTGGATCCAAAAATGGATTTAAAAATGCCAAAGGATAGGAGTGATATGCAAAAGGATGCCAGAACAGATTTACAAATGAAACCAACTGATGTCATAGTGACCAAAGGGGACATACAAATAATGGAAAAGAAGAGTGACTTGGAAAGACTTTTTAACTTGGGTTTGCAAAAGGAATGTGTTAAGCCGGTGAGGCTGTTCCTAGGAAGAGACAAAGAGAAATTATCGGGGCTGTTTCTGGGAGGGGACAAGGAGAGAAGGATGGAAAATCAACCCCTGGGACGCTATTTGAAAGGATTAAAGATCAAGCTCTTTAAAAGTAAACAAAAGGTTTACAAAGTGAACTTATTTGAATATGTTTAATATATACGTTGAGATTTTTGGTAGTTATTAACGGGATCTTTTTCCGACCGGGACTGAATTACAAGGTTTTAAGGATCTGTGTATAAAGGGGGAGAGATTTCATTTGCTTTTTAAAAATTTTTTTAGAAAAAATGGTAAGTTGGATTATGAAATGGATTTATTTTTGACTGTTTAACATATATTTGTTAATAAATTTATGGAATTTTTGTTCTTTTATATAACTGGAGTAGTTTTTTTTTTATATATACAAAGATGGAAGGATGTGACATTACCTACAATGGAAGAATGAATGGTGAAGTTGATGGAGTTGGCTGAGATGGTGAAATTGATGGCTTTGATTTGAGAAAAGATATTAATTTTAATGCTAATTAGAAACTTTTTTTGGACTTTCTGTGAGAAACAGGAAAAAATGAAATTATTTTGTATAGATTTGATTATTAGAAATAATATGGGTTTATAGTAATGATGAAAGATATGTTGTAAACGTAGAGCAAGAGATTGATGTATTCTGTTTATTATATCACTTATGAAGAGGGTCGGAAGTCAATTCTTTTTCTTTTTCTTTGTGTTTCTGTACTTTTGACCTTGGACATTCCTTTTTCTAATTTTCCTTTCTTTTTCTTATTTCCTTCCTTTAATATTAGTTTTTCTTAGTTTTTACTGTTTCTATTTAAAATTTAATGTTATTTTTAAAAAATGTCCAACCCAGAAACTGCAAGATAACATTTAAGCACCACTGAATCTCTCCCCCCCGCCCCCCTGCTCTTGGACGCAGAAGGTTACTGCTTGAATCCCATGAATGGTTGGCGTCAGCCTTCCAGCCCCAACTGGAAGGAGTCCTTGAGGTGACCCAAGGGGGGGGGGGAAGGGTGCTTTAAACTGGCAGCCAGAGAAGAGGTGCTGCATTTTCATGGGTGGGGGGGGAGGGAGGGCGACATCATCCATTCCTGACCTCCCAGAACGGTCGCTGTGTGTGCGCGCCTTCCGGTCAGTCTTCGCCCTTGCCACTCGTGGGGAAACTGGGCAGTGGGCATCCTGCTTTATGCTTTCTGGGGGCACACACATTGTTGTTACCCTAATTTCAGCTGCTTGCTATTTGGAAAGCAGACCCCCCCCCAAAAAAAGCCCAGAGCGCCAGCCTAGAGTAGGGGGTGGGGAAAGGTAATGGCAAGCTCCTTCTGTCTGGTGCCAAGAAAGCAAAATGGATGCGTCACCAAGAGGCAAGTGGTTGTAAACTGGATTAGTAAGTACACACCTTAAATTGCTCCCTCTTTCCTGGAGAACTGGGCAGGAGGGATTAATTGTTGCTGTTGCAAACCCATCTCAAGATCGTAAATCCATACATTCTAATCTCTTCATTTCCTGTTCA